CCTGTCATCTTTTCTAGCTTTTTTCCTTGCCCACTCCTCATTGTCCAATCCTCAAGTTCTCCCTTTCCTTTTAATTGTGTTATACCTTTCTATTTGTATTTCTTCTTTTGAGTTCTTATACTAGGGAGATTATATGATATTTACACATGTAGGTCTGGTTTATTTTGCTTATGAGTATATCTTCAAGTGGCATCCACTTAAATATAAATGCTTCAAATTTATCATTCTTTATAGCTGAATAATACTCCATTGTATAAAAATACCACATCTTTTTCAACCATTCATCAGGTGATGGGCATCTTGGTTGTTTACAAGATTTGGCTATCACAAATTGTGCTGCTATAAACATAGGTACATATATATCACTATGATATGATATTTTCAGTTCCTCCAGGGAAATTCCCAGTAGGGGGATAGCTGGCTTGAATGGGATTTCCCGTCCTAGTTTCTTAAGGAGTCACCACACTAATTTCCATAATGGTTGCACCAGTCTACATTCCCACCAGTAGTGGAGAAGGGTTCGCTTTTCCCAACAGCCTCTCCAACATTTGTTGTTGGTTGATTTCTCTATGATAGCCATTCTTTCTGGGGTGAGATGGTATCTCAGTGTTGTTTTAATTTGCATTTCACAGATTGTTAGTGACACGGAGCATTTTTTGATATATTTATTCACTTCTTTAATTTCATCCTCTGAGAAGTGTGTGTTTATCTCAGGGCCCATTTCTGGACTGGGTCTTTAAATTTTGGGGCCCTAGTGTTTTTTAGTTCTTTATAAATTCTAGAGAGCAGACCTTTGTCTACATACTTATTTGTCATGATATTTTCCAAATTTGTGAATTGTCTTTTCTCTTCGTTGGTAATTTCTTTTGAAGTGTAAAAACTTCTCAATAAGAGGAGGTCCCAGTTAATTTTTTCAAGAATTTCCCGTGTGACTTGATTTTTGTTCATGAACACTTTGCCTATCCCTATGTCTTCAAGAATTCCTCCTACTTTCTCTTCCATGAGATTTATTGTTTCTATTTTAATGTCCAGATCTTTAATCCATTTTGACTTTAGTTTAGTGCATGGTGATAGACCTGGGTCAAGTTTTAGTTTTCAGCATGTAGAGAGCCAGTTTTTCCAGCTCCATTTGTTAAAGAGACTATCTTTCTTCCAGTAAGTGTGTTTGACCCCTTTGTTGAAGATCAGGTGGCTGAGTGTATTCATAGAAGCATCTTCTTATCTATTCCATTGATCCTCAGGTCTATTTTGTTGCCAGTACCATGCTGATTTTATCACAGTAGCTTTGTAATATACTTTTAAGTCAGGAATTGTAATGCCTCCTGCTTTGTCTTTTTTGGCCAGGATTGCCTTTGCTCTTCTAGCTCTTTTTTGGTTCCAAATAAATTTTAGGAATGATTTCTCTAGGTGTGAGAGGTATTTTGGTGGTAGTTTAATAGGGACTGCATCTCTGAGATTTACTATGTCAGCTTTCCTAAGTAAGAGTAGGTGCTCCCTGAGTAGTGCATTGAGTTGCCAGCTAACATGTAGGCTACTGAATTAAATTTGAATTTCACATGAACAATTAAAATTTCAGTACAAGTATGGCCTATGCTATGTACACATACATCTACAAGCATGTCTCACACACATAATTTTGTAAGTTACACATGTGTATGTACATGTAAAGCATGACAACATGCAATATATATAGCAATATATATACAATATGTATATATAAATAGATATATACATTTATTATATATAATATGCAATATGTGTGCCTACTAAATCTGGCAACTCTATCCCAGTCACAATACCAGATACAGAGGAAAAGTAACTTCTGTAGATTTTGCCTTAAGTGGTCCTTTCTCTCCTCTCTGGTGGCTGGCTATGAAAAGCTGTTCATTGACTTACCTCTGATCTTTCATCTCTCTGTAGTCCTTGCTTCTCCAGCCTCTTTCATGGTTATGGTACTATTTCTTGTTATTTCAAACCTCTTGTGTGGTGGGCTGCTAACTGGTGGTCAACTTGTTACACCCAGCTTAACTGAATTAATGTGATGGTGGGTGTGGGAGGCCCACTTGTGGGTTGTTGCAGAAACAACCAGGCAGAACCGGAGAAGCTGTTAGGAGGCTGTAAGGGAAGGAGATTGGAGAAGCTGTTGGGAATCTGTTAAAGAGCTGCTGTTTCTCTTAGGTTATTCTGTTGGAGGACCTTGACATATTGGTTTTTCTGGTAAACTTGGCAGTCATCTGAAGAGGAGTCTGGGACTTTATAATCACTGAGAATGTCTGCAGTTCATTTTTGGGGAGCTCTGGTCCTCACCTTGAACATTGCTTCCTGACTCCAGAGGGGATGATGGTGTACTGCTCAGCCTCCTGAAGAACCTTATCACATTGGCTTTCCTGATGGGAACTCAATTTTCCTCATTGCTGAAGGAGCATGGGACCTCAGTATTGCTGAGGATGGCTCTGATACTTTTCAGGGGAGCTCTGGTTCTTACTTGAGCATCACTTCCTGGCTCCAGTGCAGATCCCTCAGCCTGCTAGCATAGATTCTTCATCCTGCTGGAATAGACTTTGTAGCTTCCACCAGTGACCTTTGGGCCTTCCCGATGCAGATCCTCGAAACAGGCCTGCATGAGACATTGTTGTGGGATCTAGGCCTCCAGTCGGATTTATGGGAGGCATTGTGATGAGCTCTTGGTCTTCAGCTGGACTCATGCAGGACACTATGATCCAGGTCCTCAGCTGAAGTCTTTGATCTTCAGTTTGTGGACAAATTTCTTGCACTCTTTGTATATGGTTCTTTGGGTGATTCATTATAAAATAATCTTATAAAATTATGTACATATATTGTATTATCCTCCTTGAAAAACCCCAAACTCTGATATCTTGTTATATAATTCTTGTAATGATTCAACTTTCTTGATTAAATACTGACTAATACAATCAAAGGCTGACTACAAAATTTTAAAACGAAATTAAACAGCATAAAGTATATAAGTTTGCATAATGATTATTGTATGGAGAGTCATGTAATGTAGAGCCAAAAAAAAAAAAAAAGCCAAGATAGTAAGTGTGCTACCTCAATGGACAGTAGTATTGAGGAAGAATGCATTTTCTCTATGTGATTGTGTTATATTTTCTTTCAGCTCATCAATTGAATAAAACCTTTCCTATTTAATTTGCTGATGTTTGGATCATGAGTTTATTGAAGTTTTTCTGGGTTTTTAACTACCTTTACTTTCCTCACTCCCTGCCTTTCTCCCTTGCTTCTTTTCTTTTTTTTTCATTAGAATTTTGACTAAAGAACCAGATGAACTTCTAGACAATATGCAAAATTTAATTTGTTGTCAGTTAAATTTCTACAATGTTACATATCTCTCAGGAGGGAAAATATTGAGAAGATAGAATCAGACAATAAGTGATAATGTGTAGATTGAAATTAGAAGGAAAAATTAAGTAATGTGTAAATTGAATTCAGTGTATGTGAGCTATGAGAAGATTCCATTTAGAAAGTACTCATATGGCGATTTCTTTTAGCAAAATGACATTAAAAAACTGCTCATCTTGTCTGTTGTTGTTGCAGAAAGTATCAGTATCTCCCATCTCAGCCCTACTGTCTCTTCAATATACAGCTTTTGTTATGGGTACTACTTTAGACAGATACTATTTCTTCCATAAAGGGTGTTGTTTTGTGGAACTGGGGATTGAATACAAGGTTGCTTTACCATTTTTAAGTACATCCCCATCCTTTTTATTTTTTATTTTGAGGTGGTTTTGCTAAACTTCCCAGGCTGGGTTCCAACTTGAAATCTTCCTTTCTGGGTCTTGGGAATAGCTGGGACTACAGGTGTATGCCATCAAGACTGAATTCTTTTTAACTTTTGGAAAGCTTAGAATTGAGTACAGAAATCATCAAGTAAATTAAAACTGTAACAACAATGCTTTCATGTTAAGTACATAAATAGCATTTTTTTAGACATTGTAGTTATTTGTACATTTAAACATTTATAATGTCTAAGGAAATGTAGCACATAAACATATCAGTCATAGCTTTAGGAGTCCCATTGGGTAATCGATTTTAGAGTTATGTTTTTGCTTTGAAAGGAAAAAGAAAATTCTGAGTGTCTCTGGGTGACATGGTGCACGCTTATAATCCAAACTATGAAAGCCCAGGCAGGAGTATGGACAGCTTAGCAAGACC